CTAGATAGTAGTCTTTTGTCTGAGCAACAGCTGGCAAATTTTGTTCCCACACTGTGGGTTGTCTCCTCACTCTGTTGGTGATTTCTCTTACTATGAAAAGGCTTCTAATAAGATGTGGTCCCAGTTGATGATTTGCAATAGCTCCTGTATGATAGGGGTTTTCTTCATAAAGTGTTTGATAAAAGCTGTCTATATTAAACCAACAACCAACATCATACTAAATGAACAAAAACTGAAAGCTTTCATTCTAAAATCAGGAACATGACAAGGATATCCACTGTCACCACTCTTATTCAATATAGCTCTAGAAACATTAGCCAGAGCAATTAGACAGAGAAAAAAAATAAAAGGAATAAGGATAGGAAAGGAAGAAGTAATATTATCATTATTTGTGGATGACATGATACTCTACATAGAAGACCCCAAAAACAACACCAAAAGATGCCTAGAATTAATAACCAAATTCAATACCATAGCTAGATACAAAGTCCACACCCAAAAATTAATAATCTTCCTGTACACAAACAACAAACTTACTGAGAGACAAATTATGAAAACAACACCTTTCACAATAGCACTCAAAAGGTGAAATATAGGAATCAATGTAATGAAGGAAGTAAGACTGGTACATTGAAAACTACTGAAAAAGGACATTGAAAGGATGTCCTTCTGAAAAAGGACATTGAAGAGGATATCAGAAAATGGAAAGATATCCCTTGCTCCTTCATAGGAAGAATCAATATAGTGAAAATTGCCATATTTCCAAAATTATTATACCGATTTAATACAATCTGAATCAAAATTCCAAGAGCATATCTCATAGAATTAGAGAAAACAATCCTAAAATTCATTTGGAACCAGAAAGACCTAGAATAGCAAATTCTGGGCAACAAAGGCAAGGCAGGGTGATCACAATCTCTGACTTGAAGTTATACTACATAAATACTGTGACAAAAAAAAAACCAGCATGGTACTGGGGAAAAAAAAAACAGACCCAAGGATCAGTAGAACAGATTAGAAGATGCATAACCAACTCCAGGCACACTTGGTCACCTTGTCTTTGACAAAGGGACCAAACACATTCACTGGAAGAAAGATAGCCTCTTTAATAAATGGTTCTGGAAAAACCGGCTTTCCATATGCTTAAATTAAAACTAGACTCATATATTTCACCATGCACTAAACTAAAATTGAACTGGATCAAAGGTCTCAATATTAAAACAGAAACACCAAATCTGCTGGAAGAGAAAATAGGTAGAACTCTTGAAGACACTGTAGACAAAGACTTTATGAACACAATGTTCTTCTATACATTGGCTTGATTTTAATTATTCTTTCAATTCATTAAGCATGTACTAGGAACATCTTGACATTTTGCTAGGCACTCATACACATATACAAATACTCATATATAACATATTTTTATGCATGTCATAAAGCTATATACTAGCAGGAATAAAAACTGGGGCAGCAGAGTGGGTGAGGCTGCTATTTTGGATGTGGTGATCAGGAAGACATTTGTGAAGGAGCAATGGAACAGAGAAATGGATGAAGAAGACAACCACAAGCACCTCCCAGACTTTCCAGAAAAACAAACCAAGGAACACAGAGGCCCAGAGACAAAAGCAAGGGAAGTGTATTCTAGGAACAAGAAACAGGTGGGTGTAACTGCAGTAGAGTGCATGGGATGGAGTCTAAGTGTAATAGATGACCTTCTTCCATGGAAAGGAGTAGAATATCCAGCAGGATCTTTTGAGCCTTAGCAAATATTTTGGATTGTATTTGCAGGTTAAAGGGGAACGGCTGGAAGGATTTCCCAGACCATGATATGATTCCATTTTCATCTTAAAGGATTTATTTTTCCCTTTATAAGGAGAGTGAAGAGTAAGAGCAGTGGTGGAAGCAGGGGTAGAAGAGGCTGCAGCACTAACACAGAGGGGTGGTAGTGGCTCAGATTACAACACTGCTGGCTGAGATCTACAGAACAGTGGATTAAGGATAGTTTTTGACTTGTTAGTAAAGTTTAGGGAGCAAGTAGAAGAAAGGGAGAATCCACAGGTTTTTGCCCTGAGCAACTGGATGAAAAAGATGTCCTTCAAAGGAAATGTTGTCAAGAAAAGAGAATCAAAACTTTTAGCTCTAGTTCACTCAGCACAGTGACTATGACTCAGGCCTGCTGGGATATCACATGGTAGTCGACAGATTTTGCACCATGGGGAGAAGCAGAGGGTGCAGCCCTTTGTGGCCCAGGGTGTCTCCAGCTGCATAAGGACTCATACGAGTGCCACCAACTTCAGTGCTCACGCAGCTCCGGCTGTGTCTCTTTGTGGTACCACACTCGGGTATCTCTTGAAGACAGGACTAAGAAGCAACACTGTCCTTTCAGTTGCTGCCCTGCTCACCCAGAAATGCTAATTACCCGAAGAATCTTCTCACCTCCCACCACAGCTCTGCTCCCATGTGAGCAGGAGCCTGAGGAAAGTAGGAATAGAAGGACCTTATCTCAATCAGATAAAAGCTATTGACAAACCTACCGCCAACATCATATTATATGGGGACAATATGAAAGCTTTCCCCTTAAAAAGAGAAACAAGACAATGATGTCCACTTTCACCACTCCTGTGCAGAATAGCCCTTGAAACACTGGCCAGAATAATCAGGCAAATGAAAGAAATAAAATGTGTATGTACAGGAATGGAAGAAGTCAAATGATCATTATTTGCCCTATCACATGATCTTCTACACAGAAGACCCAAAAAGTTTCACCAAAAGACTCCTAGAATTCAGAAACAAACTCACTAGTGAACCAGGATAAAAAAAATCATACAAAAATCAATAGACTTCCTGTACACCAATAATAACTCACTGAGAAATTTTTAAAGATACCACTCACAATAGCATCAAAAAAAAATAAATACTTAGGTATTAACCTAATCAAGGATGTGAAAGACCTCTATAAAGAAAACTATAGTAGTCTGAAAAGGAGAAAAAAGAGAAAATGTAAAGTTATCCCCTGTTCCTGGATAGTCAAAATGAATGTTGTCTCCAGAACAAATAATATACAGATTTAATGCAATCCCATTCACAATACCAAAAGCATTCCTCACAAAACTATAGAATATAATCCTAAAATTCACATGGAACAAGAAGAGACCCAGAATAAATAAAAGGAATCCTGTGCAAGAAAAGCCAAGCAAGAGGCATCACAATCCCAGACTTCAAGTTATATTACAAAGCTGCTGTGATTAAAAAAAAAAAAAAAAAAAAAAAAAAAACCACTATGGCAATCACACAAAAATGGATAAGTGAGTCAATGGGACAGATTACAGAATTCAGAAACAACCCTAGGCCTGTTCAGCCATCTGATCTTTGATAAAGGATCAAAAACATACACTGGAGGAAAAATAGCCTCTTTAACAAATGGTGCTGGGAAAACTGGCTGTCTACACAAGGAAGAATGAATCTAGACCTATGTATTTCACCATATATCTCTCACTAAACTTGAAGTCCCAAAAGAAAAGGCAGCCTTCTTCCCCACAGTAAAGTAGTACTGGGCAGCAGTAACGGGTATAAACTTGAGCTAGAATTCCAAAGTTTAGATCTTACCTCTTTTATAATTTGAGCTTGAGATGGTTTCTTCTATACCTTTTCTATACTTCTCTATACCTCTTTCTTATTTTAATTTTTAATAATGAATTAAAATGTTTGATTTCTCAAGTAAGAGAAACCATGCAATATATTATGGCTGGCCTCAAACTTGCAGTGATTCTCCTGCCTCAGCCTCCCAAATGCTGGGATTACAGGTGTGCACCACTCCTCTCTCAGCTAGACTATGTGATATTTAAGCTTATGTGTCTAGGGACAGGGATATAGCTCAGTGGCACAAGCACGTGCCTGGCAAGTACAAGGTCCTGAGTTCGATTCCCAGCACCAAAAAAAAAAAGAACTTTAAGGTTGTGCATCTGATTTATTTCACTCAACATTATGGTCTCAAGGTGCACCCATTTTCCTACAAATGACTCAATTTTATCCTTCTTTACAACAGAGTAGTACTCCATTGTGTGTAAATACCATGTTTTCTTTATCCATTCATCCCTTGATGGACATATTGGTTGCTTCCAGGATTTAGCTGCTACTATAAACATGGATATGCGTGTATCACTGTAATGTGATGTCTTTCACTTCTGGCAGAAGATATCTCGAAGGGGAATAGCTGAGTCACATGAATGATATGACATTTTCAGTGGGTTGGAAATTAGTTGGCTTCACTTTTAGTACCAAATTTACAATTTACAACTTCTCAGACTTCAAATAACCTCTGGATATCAATTCCATGTGTCAGGGAGAATCTGAAGTTGTTGGGAACGTGATACATACAGAAAAAAGGTTTCTGAAGACACACATAGATATGCAGCACAGATGAAGTAGAAAGGGCAACTTAATTTTTTAAAAAGGCAGTTGTGAGTGTCTACCGTCTGCTAGGCACTGTTCTAACCATTTTGTTGGTATAATGTAATTCCATATAATCATGCCATGATATATGCACTATTATTAATTCATTTTCTAGTTTTTTTATTTTTAACATTTAAAAAAAATTATACTAGTACATGTATGTACATCATTTTTGCATGGCTTGTGGAGAATTGAAATTCCTGTCTAGTCAGGCAGGTCCTTGTGCCTGGCATTGAAGATCATTCTTGCCTTCTCAAGAGGTAATCACACCCAGTTACACATTGCATTCTCACTATTCTACCTATCAACAAAGTTTCCTTTGCAAGTAAAGCTTTCTCAGAACAGCATTAATTTACTTTGCCCAGCCTGTGGTTCTGTCATACTGAAGCCGCTTTGAATTGGTCCCAATTCTACAATATGTTGTCTCCTCAATTGGAATGTCATTTTTTTATTCATTGCAAATACAAGGTACAGTGCCAAGCCCTGGCCCCCATATGTTGTCATGGAGTAAATCCACATTGAATGAATAAGGAATCAATGACAGAGACTCTCTGGAAATACATATTTATTTACCAAGCTTGTGTAGTATCTGTATTGCAGAAGTAGAATGGTGCTCTTAAGGGATCTTGGGTGTGGGGATTCCAGCAAATCACCATTTATAGAGATGAGCCTCAAAAATTTTGTTGCTCTGTGTCTATAGAGAGAAGAGGAACATAAACAGGATGATTTGAGGTTTGCTAAGTAGTGAATATGATTCTAATATGCAGACTAGGCTTTGCTAAAGGGAAACCGAATTGGTTCTGGTGAAGAATGGAGGCCATCAGATATCTACCCTAACATATAATGGGCTTTTCTGATGGGGAGCTAAAGGCCTCTTCCAGAGAGTCAGTGCTCTGCTCCCCACAGGTGCGTTTCTGTGTTAGCATGCAGTGCAGGGAATCCAGCATCAACTATAAAAGATGTACACAACTTTACATTTGGGAAGACCAGTGTGGAGGGAAAAGTGAAGGCAGAGGACCAGGACTGCAAGTTGTTTACCTGTGCTGCAAGGGGCTCTGTATTCAGCAAGAGCTGCTTCACCTGAAACACACAATGGAAACCTTGAAGATGGGAGTTTCAATGGGCTTTATGAAGAGCCTTTGACATATTCAGACTACACCCTTTCCTGATCATTGCCTGCATGTTTGCTGAAATCATCTCTTTGGAAAAGAAACAAAGAAGATATTTCTATGAATTTTCATTCTTGAAACCACTGATATAATGACCTCTTACTCTGGGTGAAAATTAAAGCCTGCTCACTGTACAGTGGTCGAGCTGAGTCCTAGGAGATCTCTCTGTAGGTAAGAATCCTTTCCGCCTCTCTTTCTGTTTGCTGCTGTTGTCTTCATGACATTTCTGATAGTTCTTGGTTTGAAAAACTTGGTACATTCCTCTGCACTAATCAGAAGAATTCCCATGTTTACCCTCCCACTGAAATTTTGCTTCTTTGTTTGGTCTTCAGGGACCATGCAGGCTATAGTTATTTCCCAACTCTAATTCCTACTGTAATTCCTTGTACAAATTTTCACACTCTTACTGATTGCTCAACACTGCTACGTTCTTAAGGAGATGTATGTATCCTTATATCTATAAGCAGGCACCCTCGAATATTTTTCATGACTCATAGACTTGTAGGGCGTTTGCAGTAGTTTTGTAGGCCGCCGAGGCAGAAATAAAGCATCCATGGTGCAACAAGTTGAAAGGCGTATATGCAGTGTTTACCGCACTCTAATTCCTTGATTAAGAATTGAGTTTATTTGGGGTCCTTCGTCCTCCCTTGCTCACCTGTCTCATAGTAGTCATAGACCTTCACAAGAGCAGGTTTCAAGTTTCTTACAGGAACGTCTTGCAGAACAGTGAAAGAAAAGTGCAGCGTGTGGTTGGTAACCTGAGAAAGGAAAGAGCAGCGATCCAGAACCAGGGATTGATATTATTGCTGATCATCCGCTGAGAAAACCTTATCTTGACTTAGTTTTGCCATTTTGCTTTGCTTTATTTTTTGTAGTACTGGAGATTAAACCCAGAGGCTTTGCAAGGAGCTGCATCCCCAGTGCTTTCTGTTCTTTACTTTATGACAATTGCTAAGTCACTAAATTGCCTGAGCTGGGCTGTAAGATTGATCCTACTGCCTCAGTCACCTAGAGCACAGGGATTACAGGCATGCGCCACCACACCTGGTTATTTCTTATCCTTAATCAGCAACTTTTTTTTTTTTTTTTTTTTTTTCTCTTTTTGAGACAGGGTCTCGCTATGCAGTTCAGGCTGACCTTGTGTTCACTTTGTAGCCCAGGCTGGTCTTGAACTCACAATGATCCTCCTGCCTCAGCCTCCCAAGTGCTGGGATTACAGGCATGTGCCACCACACCCGGCTAGCAATCTTAAATATAGTTTCTAGACAGTCCAGTTCAATTATTTAAATAAAGTTTACTTGTGGTCAAGAAATACTCATATTCCCATTTTGGTATAAATAAACCAATAATCCACTGGCCTCCCCCAATCTTCTTGTTTCTAACACTCCAAGTCCCAGGGTTGCCCCCAATTAGGAAAGAGAATTTAAAATATCATCAAATGTGGACAAAGAGAAGGTGTTTCTCCAGAACCTTATTTAGGGCTGTTCATCTCATAACAGAGGCTTCCCAGGAGAAGAGACCCACAGACATGGACCATCCACTGGGTGTGTGTAGCTGGTGGGCCACTCACCTGATCCACATAAATCAAGACGTGGTTGCTGCTCACTTCTGTCCTGCTCACATTGCCAGACCTTTCAAGCTTAGGAAAGTGAGAAAAATCACTCATGTTATTGTATAAATGCAGCCCTTGGAGTACAAAGAGACAACTGGATTGTGGGATTCATGGTGATATAAAAAGGAAGCTGGGACTCAATTCCTTTGAATGAATTTGAAATTCAGTAAAAATAAAAACATACAGAAAAATTGTAAACACAACAAATAAGATGCAAGCTGGAATACTCATTTGACTAATGAGAATTTTTTGACTTTTGTTTGTAGTAAGAGAAGTATCCTAAAATTGGAAAGTTATCCATCAGATATTTTCTGTCAAGGTGTCTTTCTCCATTGACCTTAATCTCAGCATTCTGTAATTTTCACACTATTTGTCTTGCAGAGACAAAATACCTAAGACCCCAAATTAAGGAAGGAAAGGTTTATTTAGCTCACAGTTTGTGGAGGTTTCTGTCCGTACTTCACTGGCTCCAAGGTAGGGTGACACATGGCAGAGGGCAACAGTTCATGGCAGCGGACAACAACAAAAGCAGCAAGAGCAAAAGTGTAGGGGAGAACAAGCCTCTTTCCTCCCTTATATTGTAAACAGGCTACCTTCACCCAGGGGGCATGTAGCACTCACATAACCTCCATGCCCTCCTCCTGCACAGGCTCACAATCTGTTCTAACCTAAGGTAATACAAAGTAAGGATCCTGATCCCCGGCTCAGGCACTTAGTTAACCTCCTAACTTCTCACACTGACACAATGAACAACATCCTAGAGCAGGAAGAGCATGTCCTTTTCACCCCAGGATGTAGAACTGCTGAGTTACTTAGTTAAGCTTCTAGATTCAAGTTGACACAATGTATCATAACACTATTATTTTAAAGCACACACCAACCATTTTAGTATATCTTTTCATGAATTGGTAGTTAACACTTTCTGTTATCAGCTTTTAATATTAACTAGAATGTAGGTTCAGTTAAAACAGGCAACTTTCCTTTTTTTTTGTATGGGGAAATAGCACAATTCTAAACTTAAACTTGGTACCACATAAATCAAATTACCTTAGGTTAGAACCGATGTGACTCTGATGCAGGTTGCCATTACTAAACTGAAGATACAGAAAACCAAATATCTAGCGTGCACTTACCATTTTCACTGTTGGCTTCAGTGGACTAAAACCAGATACCATTTTTACATCAACAATCACCATGTTAGAGACTGGACGTCTCCCTGTGTAACTACAGATAAAAGAAAGGAAGGAAATAGATTTCACTAGATTTCAAATCTTGCTTTCTTTTCAGCATAAGTCGTGGCATCTTCCCTAATTACTGCCTCGTTCCTTGTGACCTTTCCATCCCTCAAAACAGACAGCCCTCACAGTCAGTAGAAATAGCTCTAGAGAGTGTCTGCATGGTGGGACACTTGCAGAGTTCACTACAAACCCACATGTTTGAGCACAGCTGAGGCATAATAAGCTGCATTCCCAGGGGACAAATTCCACACAGGATGCTAAGCAGATTTTTTTGTTGTTGTTCATGTTTGCAATTAATATAGTTTACAATCATTTGGGGAATGGTTACATGTACATTTTACAGCATGCTTCTTTTGGTTTTTTTTAATCCCCTTCTCAGAAAGTAGGCTTGAAGATATCTAAATTAAATCTTTCCATTGTTACCTGTCTATAAAAGATTATCTTCACCAATGTAGACAGTGATAAGTTTGTAATATTTTAATAGCTAAGTAGCAGAGGTGGATTCTTACCTGACTTCTAGTGAAATCTGGAAGCTCTTGTGGGCTTTGGGGTCTTCACAAGTCTGAGGTACTGTGTGTACTTGTAGAGCAAATGCAGATTCTTCCTCCTCTAAGAATACATTGTATTTCAAAGCTGTCTGTTGAATTAAAGGATAGAAACAGTTATCTCTAGACTGGAAGGTCCCTCAACCTGTCACCATACCATGTCTCCTGATTTGCCATTTACTGGTATATGGAGGAATAGATACAGTTTCCACTGGGATGGGGATTTACAGCTGAATCTATTCAACTTGCCCCAAGAATCTTACCTGAGTGTAGATACATCCTTCTCCTGACACATTTATGCTGTAATCCCCTGGAACATATGGTAATGAGACCTGCTGCAACAATAGGCGATTACTGCTCTCCACTTGGAATTTTGTGGAAAATGTCCCTGAAGATTGGATCGTCACCAAAGTTTTCCCAGTTCTGGCAAAAGTAGTGGCTCCATACCTGGATAAAGCGTGGAGCGCTACCACCGTGTCCTGGAAGAGATGAAGGTGAAAACTCGAGAGATCAGTGACTGTTAGGGGTTTGGATTCTTTCCAAAGTCCATTTTTGGTATTACAAAAGTGTCATGAGGTTTTGTATCCTATTATTTAAACTCTGCACTTTAATTCAAAGGCTGATGTTAATTTATGATATGTCTGATAATTAAAATGTTTATATTTATTTCACTGTACCTTATCCCTAGAGTAAGCAAATTCTTTCGTAGCAAGTAAAAAAATGTACATATGAATCAGGATCATTTCCTATAATTTCCTCTTTTGTTCACTGCCTTGGACACCCACAATGAGACCTGCTATCTTCCCACAAAGTTACAATCTTGTTCTCTCTCTCATTGTCAAACATGCTCTGGCTTCATATGGGAATTCAAGAGACACCAAGGTTGTGACCAACTACTGGTCATAAAGTTCTCTAATCACATGAACTGAAAACTATTTCTACTGCTGTACACGATCTTTCAATCCCTTCAATGGTTTTTCACTCTTTCCACTCTAAGGAATATACTTCTGGTATTTTCCCAGAAGAATTAAAAACATCATACCACAGTGATATATGTGCACCCATGTTTACAGCAGCACAATTTGTCATAGCTAAATCTTGGAAACAACTCCAGCGCCCATCAACTGAGGAATGGATAAAAAAGATGTGTTATTTTTATACAATGGAGTACTACTCAGTTGTAAAAAAAAAAAAAAAAAAGATAAACCCGAGGCTTTTATAGGTAAATGGATGCAACTAGAGACCACTCATAAGTGAAATAAATTGGACCCACACGTGTAAGAACTCCCTAGTGTAAGAACCTGAAAGAGTAAATAAAACTCAAAATGTACATAGGTAGTATGAAAGAAATTGCTCAAAACGTACATAGGGACTATGAAAGAAATTGCTCAAAGGAAGGAACATCTGGGATGAGGGAAGGGAGAAAAAGAAAAAAAGAAGGAAGGGAAAAATATATATGTACATAGAAGGATAACTGGGATAATTGCACTGCTGATGTCTAATGATCTTTTGAAAGAAACAGTTAATGCTTATTTTCTGACCAGTTTTGCATGCTTACATCTGGTAATGTGAACAACTAATCTGAAGACAACACTATGCTATATAACAACCACTGGTGAATTCCATCTTGTCTAGTGAAACTTATCATTTCTAATTTTTTTTTATTATTTTTTATCCTCTTTAATGGTTTGATCAATCTTGCATTCTTACATCTTGTAATCTGAGCAACTTCACTGGAGATAACAATATGTAATATAACAGCCACTGTTAATTCCTATCACTTTGTTTTGAAACCCTGTATTATTTTTGGTTTTGCTTTGCTTTGTTTATGTCTATGTTGTTGTATTTTATTATTGGATTTTTTTATTGTCTTTGAAGTAAAAAAGAATGTACTTCATGCCCCCAAAAGATCGCTCTCATTAGATGCCTTCTTATCTTTCATCAGAAATGGATCTTGGTAATGTCCTTTAGACAACAGAACTCAATAAAGAGAAAAGCAAGCGTACAGAGAGCATTTTGGGGTGGGGAGCATTTTCTGGTACCGGGAACCGAACTCACAACCTTGCGCTTGCCAGGCAGGCGCTGTGCCGCTGAGCTAAATCCCCAGCCCCTCGAATAGCATTTTAACATCATGATGATTATCTGTTTCAAAGGAAAGATGGAGAGAACTGAATCACAAAGCTAACAGAATTACAAAGTGGTGCAGAGAACAGAAATTTCCTCTCCCACATTTCATTTCTCCCTTTGGAAAAATCTGCCATTTCTCCAGACTTCTCTAAAATTCTGACATATATCCCAGAATACCGAAAATAAAGATTGCAGTGTTACGTTAAGGGTGTGTTTTTTATAAAAATATTTCTTGATAGGACTATAAGTGGCTGGAAGATCAGTGAATGGATTACAGTCCAAATCTATCCAAATATCAGGAGGCGGTGAGAGACTGTGAATTTCTGCTACTTCTGAGAAAAGTCAAGTGTGACCTACTTAGAATTAAGATCGTGGGAGTTTTTTAGGAGAAGAGTGAAAGAAGATATATGTAGGGCAGCAAGAGCATTAAAAGTGCAAGTTTGCTTCACACGCTGTATCTTAGAGAATCAATCCACTGTGCTAATTCAGGTTAAGAGATTACCCCTAAGATTCTACTCATTCCAGAATCTTTACCACTGTTCATAAATCAGGATCTGCTTTCTGACTAACGGGTCTCAGTGGTGCAATCCTGCTTTCATAAAGTATAAGGAGAACTCTAGAACTCCAGGACTGGCATTAGGAAAATTTTCAGAAAGGGAATGTTTCAGGCTCTTTTTCTCATTTTCTGCAGACTCCAAATACTCTTAAGTGAGTTTTCCTTGACTTTTTCTGTCCTCTTCTCTCGGGCCCTTTCCCTTGTTACTGCTCGTTTCTCTCTCCTTCTGACCTCACCGCACTCTGAGTCTAAAGGATGAAGGCTGGAGGAAGCCGCACACCTGGGTGGAGGAGAAGCCGCCTTGGGAATTCTGCTGCTTTGTGACCCACTTCACGATGCGCGCTGCGGTAGTCAGCTCCTCTGGGGTCGGGGCTGGCTGGGCTGTGAGGTGAGCCAGGAGCACATAGGCGGTCATCTCCACCTCGGCAGAGGGTGCCTGGGGTTGGTACAAATGTCCCTCTGGCTCCTTGGGTTTCTGAGGTCGCTCCCAATGGACTGAGTTGTCTTCAGGATAAAGACAAAGGAATAATTAAAACTATTAGGATTTAAAATGTGATCATATATTGAAATGAATCCACATAAAATGTTGGAGTCACTTTTCAAATTTATTCATACAGGGTAAAAAGCTGAGCTTATTTTCTGTGGTTGAGGAAAACAATGAGGACAGACTTCAAAAGGTATCAACCAAGTTATTTTCTCAAATACTGTGCAAGTAGAATTGGTGAGGAGAACGTGGCGTGATTTCTCACTTCCTCACTTCCAATCTAAAGTTATTTGTTCAGTGTTTAGCTGAAATGAAAGATGAAACTTACCGACTGACTTCAACGTCATAATAAAAAGAGTAAAACACGAAAGTTATCATGGAATATAGTCCCTATCCTACGGTTCTTAGTAGCTTGTATTCATCTTGATATATCTACATGAGTCGGAAAGAAAAATATGTCAACTTGCATCGTCTTTGTAAAGAAGTCAAATACCTGAATCTTCCTGTAATATTGCTTTTACCAGATTTGCTCTCTGTGTGTGACAGTTAAGGTGGATCGTCATTTGTTTGGCTTGAGAGTCACCTAAGGACTTAGAAAGGCACCCTTCTGGCTGAGTCTGGGCAGATCACAAATATAACACTGGTTGCCGCATCTGATCCCTGACCCCTTCTTCTCTGGTTTCTCTGCTGCTCTGCTGCCTGGCTGCCTTTGCTGACCATACCCTTCTACCACGATATTTCTTCCTGGGAGCCTGCTGAACACAGACTGAGCACCTCAAAACGGTAGGCCAGATTAAACTTCTTCTCCATAAGTTGCAGGTTTCAGGCATATTGTACCAGTGACAGGAAGGCTAGTATATTACCTAACAAAATGTTTCTGAGAAAGTGTGGGTAGAAAAGGAGCACACATCGTGGAATAGGTAAGTTGTCATAGAAATCTCAGAATTTCATAGCGGAGCAAATCAAAAGGGAAAGTTATTTTCAGGAATTCACTTCCCCTGGACAATCCATCAGAAATGAAAAAAAATCCATCAGAAATGAAAAAATCTTAGCAAACATCCTCACCTTCTTTCATGGCTTCCTCATCAAGTGACTTGAGTATTTCTTTCCTCTTGTCCTGGTTCCCTGCCAGGGCAGACGCATATGCCAAGAGTGCCTTGGTGTAGACATGGCTGCCCTGGGTCCCCTGCTTTATTGTTTCCCAGGCTGAGTTCAAGCAGCTCAGCGCTTTGCTGACAACAGGGTGCTGTGAAGAAGAGCAGTGGTGCAGTGAGCTCGGAGGGAAAAGGCTCCTAAGAATCCTGAAATGAATGCAGACACTGTAGGATAGAAGCACCAGTGCTCAGTGTCTGTCTATCCATCCTTCCGTCCTTCCATTCTCTCACCATCTTTTTCTACAATATACTTTTTTAAAAGATTATTTTCTAATTAAAATATAGACTAATAAGAACTAGATTAGATGTCCTGTGTTTTGGATTGATTTTGGAGCATAACCTAGCATTTTTCAACAAGTATATTCTTCTTGTCAGAAATTAGTTGATGTGCAGAATTGTGCAAAATGAAAGTGGCCATTTAGCATTTCAGGGAGTAGTACAGCCATAGGTCAGCAGGCTTCAAAGAGTCTGGCCAGGTGGAGCAGGAATGGCACTTACAGTGACAGGGAGTGGGATCTCCAGAAGGGCAATGGTGATATAGGCAGAGAGGGTCACCTCATCTTCTACTCCTCCCTGTAAATGCAAGACATGAAAAAGAGATTACTTCCACTTCAGGAAACCCTTTAAAGATATGTTCTCTTTTTTTTGAGACAGGGGCTCACTATGCAGTTCAGGTTGGTCTTGAGCTCACTTTGTAGCTCAGGATGGCCTCAAACTCTTAACGATCCTCCTGCCTCAGCCTCCCAAGTGCTGGGATTACAGGTGTGCGCCACCACGCCCGGCTAAAGATATGTTCTTTACTTATGGCCAATCCTTCCTCTTCTATGGCTCCTTGGAAGTTCTTGTCATCCACATTCCCATTGCATGAAGTTCATTCTCAACCCAGGTTCCATGTCCTTCACCCCACTAGTACAGGTGTTTGTTCTCCCACCTATCATCCTCCCATGCCTTCCAGTCCCTGCTTTTTATATCTTTATCTTTAGAAAAATTTTCCTAGATGAATGAGCCATGTGATCCTAACTAGCTCACAACACAGATCACCTTCAAGTCATTGTGGAACAGTGTCCCAGAGCTCCTGAAACAGCCATTGTCCTTCTGCTTCCGGGAGAGCCAGGCGAAGGCGTGGGTAATGTGCGTTTCGTCAATGAAGATGAAGGCCCGAGCTTGGGCAAGGGTCTTGAGCACAAAGGCTGTGAGCCTGATGGGAAGAAGACCGGGAGGTGAACCCTGGTTTTCATGCAGCACCTTCATGTACACGGGCTTCACAGGGACCCCTCAGCACTCATGAGTCAGTGCTAGGGTTTCCTCGTGCTCATAGCTGGGCAGTCTCCGGGACGCTGCTGTCACTGCTGTCTTTCCTTGAGCTCTATCTACCATTAGTCCACTACCAAATGTTCAAAGCTCCACCTGGTTTGCTTCAGATGTTTAGGCTCTACCTTTTCTTACTCAGGTGGTTGATTAAGACATTACCACTCCCTTGCTAAGCTTACTTTCATAGTTAAAAAAAAAAAAAAAACTTGAACCTCTCATTACATGTGCTAGCATCCTGTCAATGCTTCCTGTCTCAAAAATTAAATTTCCCCACATCCGATTGGCATCTGTCCTGCTCTTTCCACCAGTCTCCCTTTCATTTACGAGGTGCTGTTTGCCTATGCACTTTTTTCTTAGAAAAATAGTGTTATTTTTACAGCTTTTTCAGCCTCACGTTCCAGCATGTCCAGATGGTGGAAAATAACTTCAGTATCCTTGAGCTTTATTTATGATAGGTTTTTCGGGGAAATGAGAAAGCACTGGTGACTGTACCAAATCAAAAATGGGTTTGGGAGTCAGAGCGGATAAACCCTGAGGGAGTCTCAGCCCTGCCATTTATTATTCATGCAGTTAAGAGGCATTTACTTAACAGCACTAGGTAACAGTTTCCATTTCTATAAAATGAGGCTAATAAGATCTCAGGTGGGGTTGCCACAAAATACAAGAATTATAAGAGGCCTGGCACGTGGTACCCCTTTCTTACCAGGTGTTGCCTTGATTCTTGCCATCTTGATGCCCAAAGGCACTGTAGGAGCCATCTGGGTGTTTGTAGTTTAGCTCTCTCTGATAACCTGGAGGGGAAAGTCTCAGGTGATTCATGAGGAATCAGTGATATATCAGAGATAAACAGGATCCCCACATGTACAGACTGTGGCAGAGAATTTACCAACGTGCTCTCACTTCTCCAGCATGAGGGACTGCCAAGAGGATAGCAATTCTTCCTCACTGAACGTTAAGCCTGCTTGAGCAGGGAAAATTTACAAGAACAAAAAGTTCTGACCCCAACTCACCAGCAGTAAGATAGCCAATAGCCTTGGACTTGATCTCCTGTGTCAGCTGCTGGGTTTCATTCAGATATTTCAGCACATAGATGTTAGGAGCAAAAAGGACCATGTTCTGTTCTCCACAGCCATGAGGCATCTGGAGGAGGTTTTGTGTATTTTTTATGGAAGAACTTAGTATATCACCTGGAAATGAGATATGAGAACAACCACTGCCATCAAGAACCAATGATATTCACATGTATGATATTTATATCTGAAAAAATAGCTGATGTAGAGGAATTTTAGCATGATTGGAGGGTCAGATGCACTAGAAACCAAGTGGATAATGAGGAAATAGAGGTGTGAGACAGAGCCAGGCATGGTGGCACATGCTTATAATCCCAACACTTGGGAGGCTGGGCATGAGGATCGTGAGAGTTCAAGACATCCTAGGCTACAAAGTGAGCTCAGGGCCAGCCTGAACTGCATAGCGAGACTCTGTCTCAAAAAGACCAAAAAAAAAAAAAAAAAAAAAAATGTGTGAAAAATAAGTTAAAGAGTTTAAGTGCAGTTATAACAAAACGTTGGCACACAAAAATGTGGTGTGGAAGCATGGCAGTGGACGTTGTCCAGGTCTTCTAGGGCCTGGATAACTCACCAAACACAGAGAAGTAAGCTCTGGCCGAATCCTTCACCAACTGTGGTGGGAGCTTCAGGGATAATTTTTCAGATATCTCAGCATCTCGATAAACAAATCAAATATGTACATATTTATCTTTGATGTCAATAATTTTAAAAACCCTAAGGTTAGTGGTTACAGATACACATCTTAAACTTTGACTAGCTACCTCCTTAGAAAACACTCTTGATTTTAATATTCCAAATTCACATTTCCTGAAGACTTGACAGGCTCTCTCTTCCTCTTTTATTACCTGTTGCTTGAACACCTCAGCAGCTATTCAAAAGAAGGCTCTGAGTTTCTGAGATGCGCAATTACCTACTGCTACCAGGGCTTCCTTAAAATGCTCTCTAGACACATGAAAATAATGTATTTTGTCTCAAAGGGGAACTCATATATAAATACAGTAAAAGAATAAACCAAATATAGCTGCTTGCCTTCCGGAGGCTTCTCTCTCTTACCATGATCATGGTATATTTCACTGGCCACTCAGGATACTCTTTTCATGGGAGTCCTTGCTGTGAGTATTGTATAGAGGGCTAGTTAGGAGATTAGATTATATGGGGGCCGGGGACATAGTTCAGCGGCATAAGCGCCTGCTTGGCAAGCATGAGGTCCTGAGTTTAATTGCCAGTACCAAAAACAAAAAAGAGACTAGATTATAATGATGAAGTATAGGGAGAACAAAAATTGACCACTGGTAAGATATGTCTTTTGTTATCTACTTATGGATGTTTCAAAAATAAATCTCATTCATCTCCAATGATCCACTTTATACCTTCTACCTTAACAGTAATTTAAGACTTTTAGTAACTGTAAGACATTTTTTTTTCAAATCTTCTATGGATTAATAGAATGTCTGTCACTTTTGGCAAAACCATTTACTTTATCTCATCTATGCTTTGTGAAGTTTCTTGTAATGGATTTTGGACCATGCGTTTATTCTTAAAATTTCATTTAAATTTTTTAAATTTTAAACAGGTATACATTGAAAAATCATCTTGTGCAAGGTATTGTTCTAGGTCCTGGGAATATAGCTGTGAACAAAGGCAGGCACAATTCATACCTGTTTTTTGTTTGGTTTTTGTTTGGTTTGGTTTGGTAACAGTACCAAGGATTGATTGAACCTAGGGCCTTCACACTGAGCTATATGCCTCCTCCTGTTTATTAGACATAATCTTACTAAGTTTCTTAGTTGCCCAGGCTGAGTTTGAACTTTTGATCTTCCTGCCTCAGCCTTCCAGAATGCTGACACTGCAGGGGTGGACCACCATACCAACTTTGTGCTTTTCTTAAGTTCACATCTAGTAGAAACCAGATTTATCTTGTACAAAAAATGCCTTTAACTTCTTCTCAAGTGGTTGTTTTAGGAGTATGTATCCAATAGTAAAAGAGCAATTAATATCACAACAATAGGAGAAAAATACTATGGTAAATATATATCTTCATGACTTGCTGTACTATATGTATGAAATTTTCTTGGCCATAAAAAGGTAATATTTACATAAACTGTAAGACTAGAAATATGTATTCCTTTACCAAATATTCTATAGGTTGGTCCCACTATTTTAGGTATATTTTGATCCTGACCTCCTCCTAGCTTTTCCTAATCTACTCCCTCCTCGACCTTCATATGTGCAAGATGAAAAGGTTCCTGTATTCTGCAGAAAAGAGCTCTCATGAGGAGCTAAGCTGTCCCAAATGTTCTGTTTGTAATACTGATAGCTATATTAGTACAGCTAATAACCTTGATACTCTATAAGACTCAGATTCTCTGTTTGTTTAATGGACATAAGGTACCTAGTGTCTGGATATCCTGATTAGAATGTTTCAAAATATCATTTAGGTGACTTATATGGGAAAAAGTTATTGCAGCTTAAAGTGTTATCTTCTTGTTGTTGTTTTGAATGACTCTTACCTGATGCACACAGAAATGAGTTGATCATATATTCTTTCTTGATTCCTTCAGGCTTGGGTGGAGAAGGGAAAATTCAGAAATGAGAAGATGCTGAGTATTTATTTGTAACTTGAGTTACAAATAAAGTTAGCCCCTTTATTTGTAACTTCAGTTAGATGATTTCTAATTTGTTACATTTAGTATAGGTATAAAGGTTGAAAAATCTGGGGCATCTCAACTAAAAAAAAAAAGATGGGAATTAGAAGGATAACTAAGAGAAAACATTAAAAAAATAGGATAGGAACAGAGAAAGGGGGTATTTCAAAGAACAGTTATTGGTACTGGCCAGGCAATGTGGTGCATGCCTAGGATCCCAGCACTCTGTGCGGCAGAGGCAGGAAAATTACAAGATCCGCTCAACCAGATCGAGATTGTGATTTAACAAGACCTTATTTACAAATAAAAAATAAAAATATAGTTCAATCCCCAGTACAAAAAAAATTGTTATAGAATGTACCCAGTCCAACTTTCTCTAGTGAGCAAACAGCTGAAAAGCAAGTAGGAAATAGTACAAACTCTTCACTCTACTACTCTTAAGGCATGGATTTCTCATATGCTATGAAATACACTGAGCTTATGTAATATTCTTATAATTATTTTTAAGGATGCCTGAAATGACTTTATTATCATCATGTTGTGTGTAACATACCTAAGAGACATGTGTAAGTGGGCAGATGGGCAAAAGGCATGGTCATTAAATTCCTGGAGCAGTTTCTGAGAAGTACACAATTGGGACTGAATGGTATGGATACCGGATTAGCAGCTATGTGGGTACATATTTTTGTTTTATTTTCTACTACCACCTGTTTGCATTGTATAATGATTACAATCACCACAGGGAGTTGGTACACATGCTTAAGACATCATAATTCCTTTTACTTCTTCTTCTCCTCCTCTCCCACTCTCCTCCCTCCCATCTTTTGTTCCATTCCCATTTGTTAAAAGTTCTGTCTCCCTGATTCTTATATCTGTCTTTTATTTTGCTCTTTAAATTCTTTTTAACTCTAAGATTATAGGCAATCTGTTGCTCCATTTCCTGGACTCACTCTCACTATGAAACAAATCAGACTTACTCACCTCAACTAACAGGAGTTGGACAACTGTGTCTTTCTTCCCAGCTTCAGGAACCATAGCTACCCCATTACCACAGAGCTCTGTGGACTGTTGTGTCTCCGCGCTCACAGAGAAATTCACATTCCCTGAAACAAATGGCCTGTGAATGTGAGTGTGAGTGTGCAGAGACTGGGTATCCTCTAATTCCCTGGGCCCTACACAAAGTATCCTCAGTTCCGTGAGCCATTCAATTACTAATTTAAGAAGCTGGCAAGTACAGGGTCAGAAGCAGCATAGACTGGCATTTTCTTCTTGGTGCCCAAAGTGGAGAAGCTAATTAAAGGAACCAGAGAGTTCCTTCAGAGCACTTTCACTCACCCAGTGATTTGGGAGTCACCAGCCAGGACACAGTTTGCCTCCCATTCGCACACAGGCAGTAAGAATCTTGGTCTTTTGCAACTGGGACAGCCACGAAGTCAGGGGAGTCTTCCAGCTGCACACTCACCTGTCATCCCACATGGGGCACAAAGATATGAAAGACACAACTTTAGAAGGGCAACCCGTGGGTACATTCCTTGCATGAGAGAGCCTGGAAGGAATTTGAGTGTTGAAAAGGAACTGGAAGGAGTACTTTTAGAAAGCACAGAGTTGAAAATTATGCACAAGCCGACAGTACTTTCCCAACAAGCTATACAAACTTCCTATAGGATACATATCATATCAGTATATATGCAAATATACAGAGAGATAAATATGTGCCAATTTGTTTTATTTTGGTATTAGTAGTGGAGGACAAGGAAAGGCAACAAAAACATGTTAACCTCAGGAAATTTACCCAAGGGTTTAGATTCATAGGAACTGCTCACAAGGTTTCTGTGTGGTTACAGTGACTTCTGAGTTCCATCCTTCTTTCTTAATCCATGTGCTCATCCATCTATTGAGTTGGAAACATATCGCAAGCTTTATGTGCACAAGGGATTTCTAGGCTATAAATGGCTCCTGTCCTCAAGGAGTTTTTCATTGCTGGACAAATAAAGGCCCAGAAAAAAGAATTATGCTACCTACAGGTAAATGACTTTACAAAAAATCCAAACAATGGAACTGAATGGTAGTAACTTACATCATTTTTGGATAAGCAACCTAGTTTATAATAAGGTATTTTCATAAACTTTAAAAATGTTGAGATCTGAAGTCTGTGAGTCTGTGAGGAGCTGGTTTTACAACTAGTGTTTTATAAATATGGGGAGGGAAAAAACTCATGCTGCCCCTGCTAATTTAGGACTTGGTTGTTACTGGAGTGGGAAAACACTGGCTTCCCTTATGTTAACATTTTGTTTAGAGATGGATTATGTACCCCGTGGTGGTTCCGAGACACAAGACACAATGCAACTGACGTTTCTTACCACTCAGTAACACTGCGGCCACTACAAAGTTGTAAGACCACATGACACATGTGTTTGTGCTGGTGCTGGTGAAAATAAACCTTCTGCACCACTATGCACTTCTTACATAGTATACAAGTGTAACACGATTGTGAAAGTACACAGTACTTGGCAAGAACAATAAATGATTATACAGTATTACTGCTTTATGAACTTACCATACCACATTTTTACCCTTGTGTGAAACTATACTCTTCCTTATATTAAAAAAAAGTGCTATGAAACAGGACACAGTGTTTCTCCAGCAGCAGCAGGTTCATGCATCTTACGCTTACTGCGTGTCCTGACTGTATCAGAGGGCCACATGAAGTGGTTTACCCTAGCCATGTACGTTAACATAAGTGCACTACGGGGGCTGGGGATTTAGCTCAGCGGCAAAAGCACCTGCCTGGCAAGCGCAAGGTTGTGAGTTTGGTTCCCGGTACCAGAGAAAAACCAAAAAAAAAAAAAAAAAAAAAAAAAAAAAAGTGCACTACGGTCTTGCAATGCTGACAAAAATCCCCTAATACATTTCTCAGAACACATCTCCACTGCAAAGTGGCACATTACTGTATACATGCAGGTGCCAAAGAGATTATTTAGTGATCTGGAAGAGGTGTTCGTGAGCTAAGTGCAACTTTGCATTTCTTCTTCATTTTTAAAATTTTAATTGTTTTTGATTTGCACATAATAAATGCCCTTTTCCGCTTGTGAGAAGGTCATGCTTCGTTGTGCATGGTCCTCTTACCCAGATGCAGTCAGGAAGGTAGTTCACTACAGTAGCCTTGAGCGTGAAGTCCTCGCCACGGACCACAGAGTAAGGCATCGTGAGCTCCACGAAGAAGGGCTGGAACGCTCGGAGGGAAGCAGTGGGGGAAAGACCAAGCCCAGAGTCTTCAGACAGGCAGAGGGCCCCAGCTTTCCACTCAGTGATGGTGTCTGGAACTGTGACTGCTACTTCAGCCACGCCTGAGGAGCTAGGAAGAGGGCAACACGAGGGACAGAAAGCAAGCTGGCGGACTGGTTATGGCTAAGACAGTTAATGGATAAGCACAACCTAATGGAACACTTCCGAGTCCTCACCAAAGAGTCATAGAAAATTAATAGTGTAATGAGGGGTCAAAGTAGAACAAAGGCGTTTTGATGGTTCTACTTTTCTGACTGTGGCCATATGTCTCACACCACCTCAAACTCTGTGACATCATTAGAAATATGAATACAAATTTGAAATTGTCATCGAACTTCTCTCTCTTACATACTATCTGACTATCTTACACATTATAATTCTCCAAACAGTTTATATAGGCTTGCCTCCTATTTAGTGCTCAATTATAATTATAGCATAATTATCACATTTACTTTCTGGGATTGACAAGAATACAAATATTTATAACTGGTGGTTTGACTTAATTAGACCAGAGTTTTTGTTTGTTTCCTTTCACTGAGATAAATTAATTAGAAAAATAGATGAAAGTAATGAAATAATGTTTTCATACCCAAAGCAAGTTATGTGACTAGAAGTTACTTACTTCACCACTATCAAGTCCCAGATCCATGTTTCAGGAAAATAGTTTCGCACAGTCTCAGTGAGTGGATTTTCATTTATTTCTACAGGAATCACATCATTCGTTATCATTAAAGGCACTGTGAATTTTACAAAGAAAGAAAAAAATTATTTGAGACTATTTGCATATCACAATGATAGGCACATGACTTCACTTGCTGACATTAAAATATAAAGACAACTGCACAGGAAACTATGTTTTTAACTATCTAATTTTTGGATGAGTAAAATCTCTATCAAAGTAGACTCCATAAAATCCTTGAGAAAGCAGATCCTAGTGTAGGTGGAGCTGGAAGGAAAGATGAAGTATATTGACTTGGGTTGAAGAGATAGGGAGCGCTTCAAAAAAAAAGTATGGCTTTCACCTCAGAAGGAAAGAAGAGCCACAGCACTGCCTTTCAAGAAGGAATCATGCGTATGTAGGATAAATAGTTTGAGTATATAATGACTAGAGCCAACATTATTAGTTTGAGAGGGTCTGCTAATATTTTTCTTTCTATAGACATATTGTATCAAATCTGGTGTTTTAAATTATCTGTACAATTAGTATAAGGAGAAAAAAGGGAAAAATACAAACTATGAAGCAGAAAGCTAACATTTATGCACAAGATTTCTAACAAGTATCTTCCTTTGGTGAAGCAAAAGAAATCTATAAAGCCGGAATAAAAATATTGGCTTGGGTTTCTACTGGCAGGTAATGAAAATCAGTAAAAAAGTTCTGGGCTCTGCAGTTTCTTAAAATATTTGCATGCACAGATTCAGAGTTAAGGTTTCTCACCAAGTATTGCCTTTTTGAATTGACATTTTCAGAACTTGAGAAGAGCGGATGTAATGAATAAGCTCCTTCCAGAGATTATTTCATTTTGAAGTTTGGAAGATTATCTCATTTGGAAGTTTTTCATTTGGAAATTTGAAGCTTCCTATTGTTCATTTGGATGTTTCTGCATTTTTACAGCTTCATTTCTCCAAGTTCTTCTCTATGTTGGGCACCACCCTTTTAACTTTCTCTCTTACTTCCTATTTGACTTCCATACTCAGTGTGATCTGGTGTCTCAGTTCTCCACTCAGTAGCTTAAGCATTAAAGCAATACCAAGTCAGTTTATTCATTAGATAGAGAAGTAAAATGCATAAGGCCGCTGACTCTTCTAAGAAATCTTAAAATATTCCATGCAATGGGGAGACAGAAAAAAGGAGTATCTATCTTAATTTAAAGCAAATTGGATTTCCATCCACAACTGATCAGAAGAGACAAATAACATTACTATATATAGGTTAAGGGAATAATTCAACAAGAACAGATAACAATTATAAATATATATGCACCCAATACTACCGAACATAGCTAGACATAATCATCAACAAAATTATAGTGGAGGATCTCGATACTCCAATGTCACAAATAGATAACTGAATGAAAATCACAAAATATGAGAGTTGAAGCAAATCCTCAAACAAATGGACTTAATAGCTATCTACAGAGTATTCCACCCAAAAAAACAACAGAATACACATTCTTATCAATAGCACATGAAACTTTCTCCAAAATACATGCTAGCCCATAAACCACGCTTAAGTAAATTCAAAAGAATTGTAATTATCCTGTGCATATTATCAGGTCATAGTGCAAAAGACTAAAAGTCAATGGCAAAAGAAAACATAGAAATTAAGCAAACATATGGAAATCAAACAATATCCCCTTGAATAATCAGTGAATCACAGAGTAAATCAAAGAAATTAAATAGTTCCTAGAATCAAATGAGAATGCCAGTATGACATACCATAGCATATGGGATACAATGAAAGCAGTCCTGAGAGAGATGTTTATAATTGTGAAGACTCATATTCAAAAAAACAGAGAGTAAAAATAAATAACATAATGACATGCCTCAAAGTTCAACATAAACTTGAACAATCCAACTCCAATGCTAGTACATTGAAGAACATTATAAAGATCAAAGCAGAAATGAATGCAACCAAGAATCAATTAATTGAAGAGCTGATTCATTAAAAGAATAAACTAAGTAGACAAACCCCTGGCCAAGCTTACCAAAGAAAGAAAAGAAAAGACCCAAGTCAATGCAAAGAAAAATGAGAAAGATAAAATCACAACAGACACTGCCAAAACCAAGAAGGTCATTAGTAACTATTTTGAGAAATTGTCCTCCAAAAATTAGAAGAATTCTGAAGAAATGGATAGATTCATAAATACATATGAATTACCAAAACTGAGCCAAGAATATACAAAAATCCTGAATAATCCACTAATAAACAATGAAATGAAGAAGTAATTTTATTTTTTAGAAAACTATGAAGAAAAGTCCAGGACCCAATAATTTCACTGCTGAATTCTACAAGAACTTTAGGAAAGATCTAATGCCAATAGTTTTCAAACATTTTAATGCAATTGAAAGAGAAGAAGTACTCCCAAAATCATTACTCTGATTCCAAATCCAGAAAAAGACTCAACCAAAAATGAAAACTACAGGTGAATCTCTTTAACGAACATAGATGAAAAAACCTTCAACAAAATACTGGGAAATAGGATGGAACAAATCATCAAGAAGATCATACACGATGACCAAGTAGGATTTATCCTAAAGATGCAGAGATGGCTCATCACATGCAAATCAATAAATTTAATTCATTACAGGAACAAAAACAAGAACAAAAATCACACAATCATCCTAATAGATGCAGAAAAACCCTTGAAAAATGTGAACATCCATCCATGATGAAAAGAAACTGAAGAAAATAGGTATAAAAATAGGTTTTTTCTCAACATGATAAAAGCCATTTACAGCAAACCAATAGTCAACATCATATTAAATGGAGAAAAGTTGAAAGCTTTACACTCTAAATCAGAAACAAGATAAGGATATGCACTATCACCATCCTCGTTCAATATAGTTCTGAAAACATTAGCTAGAGCAATCAAGGAAGAGAAAGAAATAAAAAGGATATATACATAAGACAAGAAGTCAAATTATCATTATTGGCAAATCACATGATCTTCTACATAGAAGACCCTCAAAACTCTATAAAACTATTCCTAGAATTAATAACCAAATTAATTTTAGAAATAATACACAGAAGAATACAAAGTCAACACATAAAAATTAACAGTGTCCCTGTACACTAACAATTAGCTCACTTAGAAATTAGGAAATCAATACCATTCATAAGAGCCTCAATAAAAATTAAATACTTCAGAATTAACCTAACCTTGGATGTGAAACACTTCTACAATAAAAATTAGATATTCTGAAAAGGGAGATCAAAAAGGACATGGAAAATGGAAAGCTAGCCCTTGTTCCTGGATAGGCAGAACAATGTAGTCAAAATGGCCGTACTGCCCAAATTAACATACAGATTTAATGCAATCCCATTCAAAATAACCATAGCATTCCTCACATAACTGGAGGAAACTGTCTTAAAATTCATATGGATCCAGAAGAGACCCAGAAACAGCAAAAGCAATCATGGGCAATAAGCAAGGCAGGAGGTATCACAATCCCAGACTTCAAGTTGTATAACAAAGCTACAGGGATAAAAACAGCATTATATTGGGGGGAACAAGCAGACTAGGGGATGCAGAAACAATTCCTAGGACATTCAGCTGGCCTTTGACAAATGGGTCAAAAACATGTTGAAGGAATGGTAGTCCCTTGACTAAATGGTGCTGAGAAAATCTGCTATTCACAAGCAGAAGAATAAGTCTAGATCCATATCTTTTATCATGTATGAAACTAACATCAAAATGAATAAAAGATCCAAATATTAAAATAGAAACAATCTACTGCAAGACAAAATAGGTAAAACTGTTGAAGATATACGTATAACCAAGGACTTTCTGAGCAGAACCCCAATTGCATAATACATAATATCAAGAAACAACAAATGGTATCATATTAAATTTTAAAGCTCCTGCCTGAAAGGAAACAACTAACAGTGTGAAGAGACAACCTACAAAATGGGCAAAATTGGTAGCTATTCCTTGGACAGAGGACTAATGTCTTTATAAAGAACACAAAAAATTTAACCCCCCAAAAATCTAAATGACCCAATCAAAAATGGACAACTGCAGTCAATGGACACCTCTCCAAAGAAAAAGTTTTAAAAAACCAATAAATACATAGAAACTGTTCAACACTCTGACCATTACAGAAATGCAAATTAAAGTAACGCTAAGATTCCATCTTACTCCAGGAAGAAAAGCTATTATCAAGAAATCAAATAGTAACAAATGCAGGTAAGGGTGTGGGGAAAAAGGAACCCTTCTACATTGTTGATGGGAATGTAAAGTAGCACAACCTTTATAGAAATCAGTATGGCATTTCCTTAAATAACTACACAGTAATTTCACTGGACCCAGCTATTCTCCTTCTAGGTATCTTCCCCAAATAGTTAAAGACATCATTTTTACAGTGATCCGTGCATAACCATGTTTATAGCAGCACAGTTCATAAGAGCTAAATCTTGGAAGTGGCTCATATGCCCATCAACAGATGAACAAGAGGGGCTGGGATTTAGCTCAGCGGCAAAGCGCCTGCCTGGCAAGCGCAAGGTCGTGAGTTCAGTTCCCAGTAGCGGAGAAAAACCAAAAAAAAAAAAAAAAAAAAAAAAAAGGCAAACAGATGAACGGGTAAAGAAAATGTGATATTTGTACACAATGGGAGTACTGTCCTTCCCTAAAGAAGAATCAAGTCATTTGTAATAAAATGGATGCACACTGATACCATAACGTTAACTGAAATAAAACATCACATTTCTCTTATATGAAAAGCCCAAAATGTAAAGAGCAAAATAAAAGACAAATAATGGGAAAGAGGGAGATAGATCTTTTGCAAATGGGAAGGGCACCAAGGGATGGCAGGAAAGGGGAGAAAGAGGATGAGAAGGGAATAAAAGTAGAATTAAGACGTGTTATCTATATGGACCAACTCTCCATAAAGGATATGACCATTCTATACTACAAACTTATACTAACAAAAACTGAAAAAAATGTTTTAAATTACTTTCAAATCAGCAAAAAGCTGAATACAATCCAGCCTGAGTTCTATTTAACTTTATATTCATGCAGGTGTAAAATAATTATTGTAGGATTTTCCTACAAAGGTAAGGATGCATGAAGGTAAAAATACCCTAATGCACCCTGTGTGTACACTATATTTAACAAATTTTTCTATTTCTTCCAGACCATTCCTATTAACATCATTTACAAACTGTGTTTTATCATTTGTAATAATTTCCACAAGAATTAATCTTTCTCTATAAAATCACCACTCTCTTATATTTTTTTACTTTTTTTTTTTTTTTTTTGAGACAGGGTCTCACTATGTAGTTTAGGCTGTCCTTGAACTCACAATGTAGCCCAGATGGGCCTCAAACTCATAGCTATCCTCCTGCCTCAGCCTCCCAAGTGCTGGGATTATGGGCATGCAACACCATGCCTGGCTTCATTTTCTACCAATAGGTTTCTTTTCGCTTTTTAACCAATTCTTCTACAGTGTTTAATTTAAAGTCTTACATCATTTTTGCATTAAAAATGGCTACCTCTATTGAAGATACCCCCCATGCATTCATATCATTGTGATTTTTTTTGGCTTCTTTCTTCACCAGCTAAATGTGACCTACAATTTAATCAAGGTTAGTGTTATACTGTTTATATGAAACAGCAACAAATGCTTTTGTATTTAGTGCTCAAATAGATTCAAGATGAGTCTTTCACCTCCCCTTCATAAACTGTTTATTTATCTGTCACTCTTCATAAAGTGCTAAATCTGACACCTTTTTATGCTTCAGCTGCTTGCACTCTTACTGTTTCTCTCTCTGCATAAAGCAGCTTTTGCTCTGTGGAGTTGGAACTACTAACATTGTTTTTCTTTAGTTGCTCTTCAAGAGCAAAGTGACCCAGTACTCAGTGATTGGCAAGTGTAGCATAAATAAGCTCTTTCCTACATCCCTAGTGGAAGTGTTGATTGACTCCATATTCCTGCAGCATAATCTAATACACATTTTCAAAGACCTTTTTAAGAAAGCAGAGTTATCTATGTATTGTCATGACTGAAGGTAATATACATTTTTTATATAGAGGTTCAACCAATACTTCCCAAGAAATCTCACTAGGGATCTCAGATTCACTCACTTCTGTATCATCATATATATCTTTATTCAGCTCACCCATCAAACCTGTTTTAAAGTTTTATTATTCATGTACATTCATATTTGTAGTTGCTTTGAGGTTTTGTTAAACAGCAGTAAAATGTATATATCAAACTAACTCTGGTAAACTAAATATCCACTTTCCTAGATTGAATATAGTTTACTCTGAACTTGAGTCCAATTATTTTTTTCCTTTATTCTTTATCTAGGACCCTAATTACATATCTCTCTTTATGATCAATGATTTTGAGAATTCTATGTCTGAAGTCTGCATCAGTTTCTGGTTTTTTTGTTTGTTTGTTTTTCTCCAGTACCGGGAACCGAACTCACGACCTTGCACTTGCCAGGCAGACGCTTTGCCGCTGAGCTAAATCCCCAGCCCCTCAATCTCTGTTAATAATGAATTTTATTGGATAATATTTTGGAAATGCTGTTTTGAACATGAATTGGATATGCAATGAGTATATAGATTAGACTTGTAATGTTGCTTAGATAACAAAGACTATAGGAGGCAGTTCTTTCAATAGTCATTATTCTGGGAATATATTACAATCACATCATTTCACCATATGATATCTTGCATCATATTATGTAAGAATGGAATTTAATAATCAATCATTTTGATTGTCTCACTTTACCAGTAAAATTGATCTTTAAAGAGAATTGACATTTTGATGCAATGCATCAATCCTTTCTTTAATTTTTATGATGTCAATGAAGATAATCAATTGAAAGATGATATTTTAGAGAATGCAGGAAAGGATGAGTAAGTTCAGAGGGGAAATGTTTGACCATAGACCCTCAAAGTAAATAGCCTTAAGCAAGACTGAAAGTTTCATTTCAGACAGAATTAAGAAACAGAGTAACTATATTCATTTTGTAGTGTAATTTGACATTTCTTTTGAAATCTTTTTCTTTACTTCAAATGGTTTTATTCACCACTTTCTACCTCTTCTACACTTGCAAAAGTTCTCTTTATTCCATATGCTACACCTGAGAATGTTTTTTTCATGTTTCATAGTTATTTGGTTTTTGTATGTTCTATATACCTGTTTTAGTAATGACTATATGTTATCTTATTGTCTTGTTTGTTTTGTTTTTGCTTGTTGGATGGCAATGATTGTCTAACCTATCCAAAGAAATAGCCCCAGTCTTGTTCTTGATGTTTATTGTCCAGGTAACTTTGGGTGACTAATTTGTCAATTTACTCTTGTGATCTTCACTTCTTTCCCATTGATATGAACAATTTATCTGTTCTAACATTTTATTTTCATCATCCTTGCTAATTAATTCAATTTCCATTATCCCAAAACAAGCTGATTTATTATTTTACCTGCTTCTGGGATTAATGCATAGTCAGGACAAAACTCAGGATCTCTGATCTTCAAGTTAGTGAATGCGTTTAAGCCCATGCTCTGAAAAGACAATGATTATGCAATCAAATGTAAATATTTAAAAATTACGTAAAAATATTAGAACACCTATCTGTGACAAATTTTACATAATTGGAAAGAGCATCTCTTTGCGTTGTGTTACTCATATGCTAGCATAGCAAAGCTGAGTACTATACTATAAAGTTCAGCACTGTAGAACCAGAGCCTGTTGAAAGGAGCACAAGATTCATGGTCAGATGTTTGTTCTGCTCTTGGCTCTGGCACAACGAGCTGTGTTACATGAATGAGCCACTGACCCTCTGCATGTCAGTTTCCTTAGCAGGAAAAAGAACAGTCTAAACTGGGCAATTTCTAAGACTATTTTCCCCATGGTTTTTCTCATGGGTTTGCTCATGGTGGGGAACCACCCCACCACCAAGCTACATCATCAGCCTGCCTGTTGAGGGTCATTACCAATATTATATTGTGTTAATCTTGAATAGTTCACATGGCAGAATATTAATTAACAGTATAGGCTTACCTGTATGTATCTGAAAGTATCTTTGTCATTTTTTTTCGATGATGAATGAATGATTTTATCAAAATTTCTATATTCATCATTGTAACAGTTGTCTGGGTCTTTTGCCCATTGATTTAAATGTGGAATGAAGTCAGTGTCCTTCATTCTTAGCAGATTATATATCTATAAAAGACAAGAAAACAAATGATGAAATCTCTTTCTTGCTCTTTCCTGGATAATACTACTAACCAAAAAGAACCAATATGATCATATTTTAAATCATTTCCTAAATGTGTTCATGATTTTGTTTGAATTAGTGTTTTACCCTAAAGGTGATTACCATGTTCAAGAAAAACTAAATTTTTCCAATCCAAGAATCATAGCACTTCAAGAGAAATTTAAAATTCTGGGGGCTGGGGATTTAGCTCAGTGGCAAAGCGCCTGCCTGGCAAGCACAAGGTCGTGAGTTCAGTTCCCGGTACCGGAGAAAAACCAAAAAAAACAAACAAAAAAAAAAAAAACAAATTCTGGACCTTACAGTTGAAGAAGATAATATTTATAATACTATTAATGTAAAATATATTAAATCTATGTTAGATAATAAATTTATACTATATCAGCCAACTAATAAATATAAAAATCAAGATCACTGTTTTCAGTTCACTATTGAAATTTTTTTTAAAAGTAACACCTGGATTAATCAAAGTATAAGTAAATAGAAGAGATCTGAATGAAGAATTCTCTATTTTCTCTTTTCTTTCAATATCCCAAACAAGGGGGAGAAAAGTCCCCATCTTTAATAACATTAGGATACATTTAATCTTCCAAATATAATTCATGAGATTCAAGGGCAGGTAGAGGAATTGCAAATGATGGGGCCAAAGGTAAGAATAGTGCAACTTCCTGCCTCGTAGGCACCCGGAAGGAGGGTCCCCGGCACATGGGGAGCCACAGGTGGGGAGCACCAGTGTTCTGACCAGCTCATTCCCTGCCTCGTAGGCACCCGGAAGGAGGGCCGCTGGTGCACTGGGAGCCACAGGCAGGGAGCGCCGGTCTTCTGGTCAGCTCGCTCCCTGGCTTGTAGGCTCCCGGAAGGAGGGCCCCCAGTGCACGGGGAGCCACGCGGCAGTAAGCGCTATTGCACGCTGGCCCTCAGGCCTGCCACTGCCACTCAATTGAGAACTACCATGAGACAGGGAAACAATGACACAATTGGCCCACCATGCACCGGCTGCAGATGCCCACCCACGGAAGTGTGTGAACCATTCAAACATGGAGAAACCCCTGGGAACAGATGCCATACAACGGGTCACTCTTACTCCTGCCATTGAGAATCAGAAAGGCCCAGAGTCAGCAGGGGAGCAGCTGCTGAACAAGGATTGGGAGAACATGAGAGCGCAGACTAAGCCCGAGGAGTCAGAGGTCCAGTGGACTGGGGTCATGAGAGCCGCTCGGAAGCTGTAAACCAGGAGGACCTTGCACAATACCTGCAGAGACTCCCTGAAAGCCATTCTTCCCCTGACAGTACAGGCTGTGGTGGCGCTCCAGAGAAGTCTACAGCAGGATTCCTTCTGCCTGTGCTGACAGTTGGGGAGAGGACACTAACTGGTTGTGGGGTCCCAATGCGATGGGAGGCTGGAGAGAAAACGCTACAAAAAAATGGCTTTGACCCCAGACGGCTCACTTGATTTTTGACAACCCTTAGGCTGTAACTACTTGTTAGATCCTTCTTGTGTATCTCTGTCTTCCTGAGAAACCACTTTGAAGATACCACCATGTATTACAGCAGCCATTGATATTTTCCTACTAATCTATCCATAACTCTGCAATGTTTGTATTGTTCCTACCCTATGTCATAAATGGATGCATGTCTATCATTATGTGTTTCCTACAGCAACCATTGAGAATAGTTAATGATTATTCAATTGGTCACTCATGTATAGCTCTATTTATTTTCTTTAGCAGCCACTTTGAAGATACCAAAGTATATAGTACAACTATTGATAATCTCCTACCGCTTTTGCCTGTAACTCACTATTATTTGTCTATTTGTTTTCCTGAGAAACTAGCCTGTAGATAACAATATGTAAAACAATAACCATTGATAATTTCCTACCACTTTGTCTGTAATTTGGTAAGCCCCCCCCCATTATTATGTTATCCTTCTTTTACTCTTTAAAATAAAAAAAAAAGAATAGTGCAACTGCATGAGATACTGCAAATACATTTGCCAAAAAGCCTCATAAAGCTTCGGGATTTGGAGGCATGAGGTCCCTTAGAAGGGAAAAGATATGTGAATGCAGCATGAAGGAAGCCAAAGGAAAAAGGACTGATGCACTTCCCTGGAGAATGCAAGCAGGCTGCATCTCAGGCAGAAGCTTGTTCTTAGCTTGGAATGGACATTCTCTGGAGAATATACATTTTGTAAACACTTTTAATATTGTGAGTGCTCCCTGTCAAAGTTCTTGCTGGCCATCTTACAATACATTATGTGACAAGCGTTTCTCCAAAACCCAGACCATAAGATCAATGATCAAGTTTTACTGCTTCAGTCTAAACTACAAATGAATAGCTAAGCACCATCAGTGAATTTCCAATATGAATGAGAAAAAAACAAAGCAAGTAAACAGAGGAAAGTTAGGAAATATCAGCAGATCAGAGAGCAAAAGAAAACTCCAAAAGAAAAACCAAATCACAACATAAAATCCTATAAAACTCTCCGAGGCATAGGCAACATCACATCCATGAAACTAAAACAAGGCATAAAAATAAAATAATCAGAAAATAATACATAGCTTTCAAAATTAGAAATGAAATTAAGCTAATTTAAAATAAAATGTCTAAGAATATTAAAATGTAAATGTTATAAAAGTCAACACCACACTGCGCCACTCTAGTGGCTTCATCCGCCGCCACCTTTCTTCAATGTGCGAGAACATCTTTATGCCCACGTCTGCTTCTGGCCCACAGTCTTTTAGAGACCAAACACCATTCTTTCAATTAAGTTGCAGAGTTCTGATGGAGAGATATTTGAAGTTGATGCTGAAATTGCCAAACAATCTGTGACAATCAAGACCACGTTGGACGATTTGGGAATGGATGAGGAAGGAGATGATGACCCAGTTCCTCTACCAAATGTTAATGCAGCAATATTTAAAAAGGTCATTCAGTGGTGTACCCACCACAAGGATGACCCTCCTCCTCCTGAGGATGATGAGAACAAAGAAAAATGAACAGATGATATCCCTATTTGGGACCAAGAATTCCTGAAAATTGACCAAGGAACTAACCCTTTTTGAACTTATTCTGGCAGCAAACTACCTAGACATCAAAGGTTTGCTTGATGTCACCTGCAAGACTGTTGCCGATATGATAAGGGGGAAACTCCTGAGGAGATTTGTAAGACCTTTAATATCAAAAATGACTTTACTGAGGAAGAGGAAGCCCGGGTACTCAAAGAGAACCAGTGGTGTGAAGAGAAGTGAAATGTTGCACCTGACACTGTAACACTATAAGGATTGTTTCAAACAGTAGTTGCCCTGCTCTGTTTATAATTGTTAATATTAGACAAACAATAGACAAATGCAGCAGCAAAATAATTGTATTAGCATAATATCATCCTCATTGCTTGTGTAGTTTGAGTTACAGATTCCAAATCAATGGCTGAATTTTTTTAGTCTGAGCGAAACTTGTTGTTTTTGTTTACTCTGAATAAAACTGAACTATGGGTTCTCTGTAGAAAGGTTTTTTGTTTGTTTATTTTTGGTACCGGGAATTGAACTCAGGACCTTGCACTTGCCAGGCAGGTACTTGTGCTGCTGAGCTATATCCCTGGCCCTAGAAAGTTGAGATTTTGAGCTTTCCCTCTTTTTTATAAAGTGATTTCTGTGTAGTTTATTGTCTAGTTAACTTTAGTGAGCTTTTAAAAGCTGGCATTGTAAACAAAACAATTTGCAAAGAGTTTTCTGAAATAGAAATAACAAAATATTATCTTTATTCAGAAGTTGGAAACTGGAAAGAGGCTACTTGAAGTAACTGTTCCAAGTGGGGTTACTTAGGGTGTCTTCCAGCCTCCTACAGTCAAGCAGTATCACTGGTATAGATTAGCCTTTGAGTAGCAGGGTTCCCTTAGTTGGACCTGAGGACTTGTTTTATTTGTTTTTAAATTTTAATCTTCTCAGCCTTGGATATGTTGCCTACAGACTTAGTAACTACCAAGTTTGTCATCTGGGGGAGAAATGTAACTTGCCAGTTTGTTAGCTTTTCAGTTAAAGACAACACTTAATTCCAAAAAAAAATGTAAATATTGAGGAATCTCCTAGAAAATAGAAAAACAAAGGAAAATAGGGGTAAAAAGTAGTATAATAAATTGTAGACAAATGGGCAGTATTGGACATCAGACATACGCTCTGCAACTTACTGCTTGATTTAATTTGTGTCATCTTGAACACAATGCATTGATAAATTCTTCTGAATTATACTTTTATATCTAATAGTACAGATATCACTTTGTAATGCCATGACCATTAAATATGATGATATACATTTAAGAAACTAATAATTACTCATCTCCAAACTAATATAAAGCATTCTGAATTATCACTCCCTTTTCCAAAGAGCAGTTCCTCCCTGCTCTGTACCCCTCCTGGGCCCCTTTCTGGTCAGAGGTGGGGAGGAACTCACCCAGGATGGGGAAAGTTCAGCTTCTGGCCTCATGAGAAGCACGCTTTTGTCCACAGCTCGTAGGGCACAGAGAGACTGAGGAGCAGCTGTAACTTGCAGCTGGGCTTGTGAGGCCGGGAGACTTTGTGCTGGGCTGAAGCTCAAACCCACCTGTGAGAAAGACAAACCATAATCCCCATATACTACTTGGATTGCGGGCCTAAAGCCCACCCCACTTTTGAGTCATTCACATATTCACTATGCTATCTATTTTGCCAAAATAGACCCATTTATATTGCTGAGTTATGAACAATTATTATTGCTAAATTATGATTCAAAGAGTATTAGTCCTGAGGATATTTTTCCTTCCCTTCATCCAGCTTTACTTGAACAATTAACTCCTGGGACAGTCTTATTCTGAAGCAACAAACAACCACTGAGAATGATGGATGTTCTTGTTCATTATTTTTAAGGGCCATTTATCTATCTGTTGTACTTTTCCAAGTGAAATGTCAGTGATTCTAATTGTGGATTTCTTTCTTTCTCTCTTTCGGTCTCTCTATCTAACTATCTATCATCTGTGCCTCTATTCCCCATTTCATTTCAGGTAAATGGAACCAATGGCTTTAGACTGGGTTGTATTTAGAAAACACAGCAGACTCTGACTCAAGTGGGCCAATGGGAAGAAAGTAGAACTGTGGTTGTTTGAGGTTAGTGAAAGGGGAGAAAGGACATTAGTAAGAGGATACAAAGTGGCAATTATACAAGAAGAATAAGTCCTAGAGATCTAATGTATGTCACATTATTAACAATACTGCTTTGTACACTTAGGAATTTGATAAGCAGAGATATTTTACCTTACATGGTATTACCATGTGCATACAAAAATAATAAATAAGACAGGATGGGATAGAAGTGTGTTCAGTGAAGAGTTGGGAAACCTAGATCTTAGTTTTGGTTCTGCCATAAAAGTGGTATGGCTTTGAATGAGTTACTAGGTTATTAAGACCTCTATTCTTTATCTGCAAAGTAATATATGTCCTTCTTAAACTTCTGTGTGTTATTTTTTAAAAAATTTCTGTCATTGAAATTTTAGAAATAAATTACCAACCTTGTTGGGAAGACAATTTTCAACCTTGAATTTTGCAGAATCCGCAATTACTTCTCCATTGGGTAAAATGGCATAGATGAGCATTTGAGTGACAGGAGCCATGTGTGACTCCACAGGGACAGACAGGGTAAAGTGGCCTTTCACTGCAGCACAGAAGGTAAGGGAAGAGAGAGTCATAACCCTGATAATGGAAGGAAACCCAAATAGCTGAACTATAGCCTCGCACTGCTGACATTCCTACGTGTACGCTGGGGCTAGTGGTCTGCATATTAGTGGCCTGGTGAGGGTGTGAAAGAGTACTGCAGTATCTTCCTCTAAAGACCTTAGCTGTGGAAAAATGTGTCCACATTATCTTTCCCTCTGAATAGTCATACAGACTATCTCTTATGTCTTTTATACCTTAGCAAGGCTAAATAGCATCAGTTAGCTCTTATAACAATAAAGTGGTATCAAGTAATGAAGCCATCTCAGTTGACATTACACTTGTAACTTAGAGAAGAGGAACAACAGTGGAGATGATGACCAAGCCCTGATGGAACCTAGTGATGGGACCGCAAAGTACAGGTGATTGCAGTGAAGTGTCAATGTTTAGCAATAAATGTACTTTTTCTTAGAACACCTTGCTTGAACCAAATGTTCACAGAGCTTATGCAACTATACAAATCTCCTTTATCATTACCCAAATCAAAGATTTTAGTAAATCTCCAAATGATCCTGTGTTTTCTTTTTCTTTCTTTCTTTTTATGGTGCTAGGGATCAAACATAGGGTCTTGTAAAACCTAAGCAAGCATTACTTTTAGGTCTCCACTCATTTTTTAATCATTCAAACATTGATGTAGCTAGAATGACTGAAAGACCAAGGCAGACAACGTTTAGATCTTATTGAACAAAGAACAACATACATTTTGCCTTTTTGGTGAAGTTCCTGGTCTGACTACATGGATTACTCATTTAAAGCACATATAAGAGTATTTTATAATTTTATATTACATCTCCAAAAATGTATATTTAATGGTGTTGGGTAATGCTCAGCTTGACAATCTGAGACTCCACAGTTCTCAAACTGAGTTAATGATATGAGTTAGAACATCCATTAGGAGACACAACCTTAAGGTCTAGCTGTTGAGATTGTTTCATAGTGACACACAGGAAATGTCATGACATCCCTCTTTTGCTCAGTTGTGTAGCATCCTTGCTGAGTGTATATGGGGTACAGCCAGACATATTGATAAACTCAGAACACTCACGTTCTCCTGATTCCATGAGGAAAGCATGGGTTCCAGTTTGAATGATGCAGCCCTTGGTCATGATCTAAATTAAAAAGTATATTCTCAGTTTATCTGCCCACTTCTGCAATCTGTCTCCCATCTAATATACTCAGTGTTGAGGTTCAAACAGCAATACCCAGCCCAATAAGAAGTCAAAGGGTCAAGAGATATATGGTTAGGAAATCAAAGAATTTCAATATTTTTTGCCTCACAGTCAGACTCTATTTCTCAACTTGAAGACAGAACTCACCAGGTAATAGAAGACCATATCCCTCAGCTCCCCCAAGACCTCTCCATTCAGAATGTAATGTACATGAACTGTATGCATTTGGCCACACGATAAGACACCAGCGACAGGCTCAAGGTAGACAAAGCTCTTGCTGAAGGAGAAAACCTGTCTAGCCACATAAATTGCTTCTTTGAGCTCTTCTTGAATGCAATAGTGTTTAAAACAAAGACCTTGCTCTTTGTAGTAGACCTGGAAAAACAAAAAACAAAAATACTATGTTGTGGACTATCTATCAGAGAGAACTCCTGTTCTAAGCTACATAAGCCTACCTGGTTGTACTGTGAGACATTTTTTAGCTTCTTAATGAAAATTGGAGAAACCCTTCCCTTACAGCTAGTTAAATGAACTTATATTTAGTTCCCTTAATTTCAGAAGATGTTTCTGGAAAGTATTTGTACCTATGCATTAAGAAAAGGAAAGACTATCTTTCATATAGATTATTATGTAAATAGAACAGATTCAGAGAAACTAGGAAATCTCACTGAGGTTTCAGTTGTGATAAGGTGCTAAATTGATCTTCAGCAAATAGATGTTTCTAAATAGTGAGCCTTCCTAAAATTGTATAAACACCAGAAGAGTCAAGGCTTAGGTGAATGTTATCACTACTCTGATATCATGGATTGGCTGTGTAAGTCTTTGACACTCTATACCTTTCAACCTTGCATAACCTTCCATTTGATTGTTGAGCAGCACGGGGGTGGAGGGGGGGTGTTGTTTGTTTGCTTGCTTGTTTGCAGTACTGAGGGCTGAAAATTCTAGACAAGTGCTCTACCTCTAAGCCACATCCACTCTCATCTTCCTCTTTGTTCATCAAATGACTGTGTGTGCTTCCTCTCAACCTTCAGTCTACTATGTTCCCATTTCCATTATAATGTTCACAGGTGTTACAACATTTCATGGAGCTTTCCACCACCAATGATGTAGGTCCATAAAAATACAAGCCATGCTTATTTTCCATAACAAGGACTAGCACAGTGCCCAGCAACTCAATTATGCAATGAGTGCCTACTGTCTGGAGAAATAAAGATAGTATTTGGGGCAATTTCAGAACATTTATACCCCTAATTGAGAAAACAAGTTATTCTATTAAACATAATTGTTTGTTTGAAGATAATGACTTGGAAAACATAGAAGATGACCAAAATAAAAGAAGATGATAATTAATTAAGAATATAAGGGGCTGGGGATTTAGCTCAGCGGCAAAAGCGCCTGCCTGGCAAGCGCAAGGTTGTGAGTTCAGTTCCTGGTACCGGAGGGGGGGAAAAAAAAAGAATATAATATATAAAAAGACATCTTTAAGGTATGGCAGTTAGTTCTCTAGTCTTTCTCCTAGTACTTTTACTGTTTACCAAATATGTCGCATAATTCACTCTAAATTAAGTCAATTAGGGACATGAATCTCTTTTTCTTGAGGTAAGAACTACTGAGCTTCAACTCTGTTGCCAAGATTGCTCTTCATGTTCTCACTTCCAAACTCACTCTGTAAAAGAAGGAGGAGCCCACAATGTCATTGGTATTGATGGAGAGCTCTACCAAGCCATGCTCATCTGTGGTAGCACTGGTGTTATAGTTTGTTGCAGACACATGGAGGAAGACATGTTGATTTGCCATAGGAACTCCTTTTGGATCCTCAAGGCGAAACTGTAATAGAACAACGAAAGAAGCTGTGAATTAGATTCGACAGTACCACTCAGGACTATAAGAGCAAAAGCCTTTTCTGACATTGCATAAAGGCCAAATAGGGTCCCATCACCACCATAAGTCTGCTTTTATTTTCCGGGTGAGATCTTTTTTCTCTCCCAAGTGTAAATCATAGAAATTCTCTAATTCTCTATTCTTTCCAGAAGAGTAAAAGAGTACATGCTAAGTATACTGAATATATATATATATTTCAAATTACAGAACTGTGGGACCAGAAAATAAGTGACAATCTCTTTAAAATTATGAGCTAGACCAGATACTCACCAGAAATGTTTTCTATTGGACTTTGATAAATCTGTTAATCATTAGATCAAAGGGTCACACTTTCTTATTATTTGCATTTCTCTGCATATATACATATGGGGAGGGAGAGAAGTGGGGAGAGAAAAGAGAGGAAGAGAGGGAGAGAGAGAGAGGCCAGAGTGACTACAGCCATAAGGCAGACACAACTGACCAACCATGCACAGGAAAGGCAGGGCAGGGTCTAACATTCACAAAAATTTAAGTGTGGAAACAAAACAGGTCTTTGCAGTGACTCAATACCCCTTCCCCATGTCTGCTTGAATCCAAGACTGCAGACCCTGGAAAGAAACCACTCATTCATAACCACAGAAGAATTTTTTTTCATTAGCTGCATCACCTTTTTTTCCATTGGTGGTTTTGGGTGCAGGGTTTCTTCAGTTTTGTTCCTTTTCTCTTTTATTAATTTTTTTCTCTATCTTTCTTTTATCTTTCCTTCTGTTTTCTCTTTTTCTTCCTTTTTGTCTGTTCTTATCTATTACTTTTATATAATTCTACTAATTTTCTTTTATTTCTTAATAGGATCCTTTAACTCATTTTCCTCCTCATATCTCACTACTTAATTTTTCTTCTTTCATTCTTCTGTTCACCACTCCTATCTCTACTAGTATAACCAATAACCTTTATTAATATGTAGATATTTTGTTAACTATGCTATTACCATTGAATTCTTTTCTATTGTTAGTGGAGATATAGTTGTTGCATTTAGAAGATTTTTACAATGTCAATGTCCTTTGTGTTTATTATATAGTTATAGAACTCTTTCCTGTGGTAAAGAGTGGTACATTATTGGTTGTTAAGGTATATCAATATTCAGTTTGACTTTAATGCTATTATTATTACTGATTTTGTTGCTTTTGCCAGGGTGGCATAGTACTTGCTACTAACTGGTTTTCTGTGTGTGCCAATATCTGGATTGTCTTTGTGTCATTAACAATACCATGGTCTATTCCTGGAGAACTGAGGGTTGATTCAATTACACTGTACCCTCCCCTCCAAATTAATGGAAGTGATTGAATCTTTATACAAGGGCAAAGGCCTATATTAAGACATTCCCACAATGCATCACTGTAAAGCAGACATTAACTAAAGACATCTCCATATTAGCAAAAAGTCTTCCACTACAATCAACCCACAAATCTAAGCATGACCACAAGAAAAAAAAAAAGAAAGAAAAAAAAAGCATGAGAAGGCAACAAGAGGCATCCCAAAACTCCAAACTTCCCCAAAGACAATGCAAGAGGCATTGATGATAGTGAAATCAAAAGCAATAGAGCTGAAATATTCAAAATGATAAAAAAGAAATAAACAGCAATAAGATGCTTAGCAAGCTCAAAGAAAATATAACTAAACCAATAATGGACTAAATAAAAAAATGATAGGTAGGTTTACAGAAGACACTAATAAAAAGCTAGATGATGTAAACAAAATGATACAAAACATAAATGATCATTTTAGAAAAGGCACCAATCAGAAACTCAGGAAATTAAAAATTCTATAGAAAGTATAGGCAGCAGAAACAATTAGTGTGAGGACAGAGTATCAGAATGGTGACATTAGGCTGCTACCAGAGGCCACTTATTCAGAGATACCTAAAAAGACAGTAACAGAAAAAGAAAAATGGACCCAACACTTCCTAGATGACACAATGACTAATCTAAGATTAGTTGGAATTAGTGAAAAATCAGAAGACAGCACAAATAGCTTAATGGACCTTTTTACAAAAACAAGAGCATAAAATTTTCCAAATATGAGGAGAAATTTTAACATACACATAAGTGATTCATATTGAATGCTAAGTAATATCCATGATCAGAAAAGTACTCTGTGACATATCATAGTCAAAATTCCAGAGTTCTGAAAAAAGGACAAAAATCTTCAAAGCTGCTATAGCTAAGCAACAATCACTTATAAAAGTAAGCTCATTAGAATTACAGCAGACTTCACAACACAAACTTCAAAAGCCAGGAGAACAAAGAGTGAAGTATTTAAGCCCTAAGATACAATAACTTCCAACCCAGATTGATATATCCTGCAAAACTATCTTTCAATTCATAGATAAGTAAGATATTTCCATGAAAAAGAGCACCTTAAGAAACTTATGACCACCAAACCGGCACTATAAAAGATTCTTAAGGATAGCCTACAATGGGGCTAACAATGCTAAAAAGTCTAATGGAATGCACCAGGCAGGGTGAGAAGTTAAGCAATGGGAGAAAAAGAATGAGAACAAAGAAATAATGAAATGATAGGAATGAGTAAATAGTGTTCAGAAATGATGTATGGTTGATACATTGTGTCAACTTGGGGAGGCTAGAGGCTTGACTAAGTGACTCAGCAGTTCTGCATCTTGGGGTGAAAAGGACATGCCCTTACCCTTCTGGGATGTTGTTCATTGTGTCAATTTGAGAAGTTTAGAAGGTTAACTACGTCACTGAGCAGGGAGTTAGGGTCCTTGCTTTATACTCATCCTGAGCCTATGCAAGAAGAGGGTATGGAGATTATGTGAGTGCTACACATCCCCTAAGTGGGGGTAGTATGCTTACAGTATAAGGCAGGAAAAGAGGCTTGTTCTCACCCCCTTGTGCTCTTGCTGCTTTTGCTGTCTTCTGCCACCTTAAAGTGTTGCCCTTGTGGCATGCCACTCTGCATTAGACCCATTATGGACTAAAACCTCTACAAACTGTAAGCTAAATAAACCTTTCCTTCCTTAATTTTGGGTGTTGGGTATTTTGTCTCAGCAATGAGAGAAAAGAAACCAAGACAAATGACAATGTGAATAATATCAATTCCCAAATCAAAAGACAAAGATTGGCAAAATGGATCAAAAAACAAAACTCAACTGTATACAAGAAACACATTGAATCCAAGGAGAATTTCAGAGACTAAAAAATTAAAGAATGGGAAGCAATATTCCATGTAACGCTAATTCAAAAACAAGTAGGAGTAGCTATCCTATTTTCAAAGTGCACTTCAAGCCAAAATTGATCATGAGAGACAAAAAGGGTCACTACATATTAGCTAAGGGAACAATTGAACAGGAAGTGGTAACATCTATAAACACATATGCGCCCAACACTGGCAAATGCAACTTCATAAAACAAACACTATTGGAAATAAAAGATCAGGTAAAGATCAGCACAGTTACAGTAGGGGACTTCGATACCCTACTGTCATGAATAGATTGGTCAACTCAATGAAAAATCAACAAAAAATATGAGTGTTGGACCAAATCTTTGAAAAAACTGAACTTCATAGATATATACTTAGTGGTCTACCCAACAAAAGCACAATTCATTTCAAAAGCATACAGAACTTGACATACTCACTCGTTAAGCATGATAAATATAGGCAAACTAATTAAAATTATTCTGTGCCTGTTATCAGGTTATAGTGCATTGAAACTACAAATCAATGGCAAATAAAACCACAGAAATTACACACAGGTGCACACACACACACTCACACATGCACATAGAAACTAAATCATACTATCCTGAGCAACCAATGAGTCACAAAAGATATCAAAGAAATTAGACAGCTGCTAGAACCACCTAAATGCCAATATACCATACCAGAAACTCTGGAACATAATGAAGGTAGTTTTAAATGGGAATTTTATAGCTGTGGACACTCATATTCAGAAAAAGAATGAACCCAAGTAACCTAATGATCACCTGAAGTTCCTACACAGACAAGAACAATCCAAATCCACAGCTAGTATGAGGAAGGAAATTATAAAACTCAAAGCAAATGCTAATGAAATTGATACTGAATCACAATGAAAAGAATGTATCAAAGAGCTGATTCTTTTAAAAAAATAAAAAATGGACAAAACTTCAACCAATTTTACCAAAAGAAGGAGAGGGAGCAGGAGACTGAGAGGGAGAAGGAGAAGGAGAAGAGAAACAAAGAACTTACATCAGTGTAATGGGAAAGGGAAAAGGAAAAGGATAAACTACAATGAACGTTGCCAAATCTGTATTACTGGTAACTACTTTGAAAACCTGTATTCCCAAAAAATAATAACAGAGAAGAAATGAATAGAGTTCTAGAAATACAAGAATTATAGAAACTGAATGAAAAAGACATAAACTGCGAGAATAATAACAGACGATTAAATGGAAGCATTTTTAAAAACTACCAAGTAGGAAAATCCCAGGACCCAATGGATTCACTGCTGAGTTCTGCAAGAAATTCAAACCCCATCTAACGTCTATTGACAAAACTGAAACGGAAGGAGCACACCGAAAGTCATTCCTAAAAGCTGGCATTATCATGATTGCAAATCCAGAAAAGGATCCTACCAAAACAGAGCACTTCACACTAATCTTTTTAATGAGCATTAACACAAAAATCCTCAAAAGATACTGGCAAATAAAAAGCAAAAAGTCATCAAAAAATTGTACATCATGACAAAGAAGGCTTCATCCTAGAGATGCAAGGATGGTTCACCACGAATAAATCAATAAATGTAATACATCACATGGAAAAAAATGGTGACAAAATTCACACAATCATCTCAGTTGATGGAGATAAAAACTTTAACAAAGGCAAACATCCATTCTCGATAAATATTCTAAAGAAAATAGGTACAGAAGGACTTTCTCCCATCCTTATAAAAGCCATTTTGACAAGCC